GAGCTACATAACATACTTAAATAATTTATTTCAACACCCTTTGTTAACATTTCCTTACTCAGCATTGCTGTTTAAGCTGTTGTTGAACTGTTGTATAAAAGCAACATCACACTGGAGGGAGTGACGTTGGAATATATATCGTCACGGCTGTGATTGTCTTCTGTGACCGAATCACAGCCGTGACGATATACAGTCCAACGTCACTCCCTCTCGTGAGATATTGCTTAAATATGTATGTATGTATATATGTATATATGCAGTTTACAGTGAGAGTTTGATGTGGACCAACTGCTGACATCACAGTTTCATTACCTCTGATTAACAAAAGTCTAACTGTCCCACTGAGGTTGTGTTTGGACACTCATGTGACCTCAGCGTGTCCAACATAAACTAAACCTGTGTGAGGACAGAACAGTTTACTGACGCTACAGGACATCAAATAAAGACAAGACTATAGTTTCACTTCGACGGGTCGTCTGTAACAAACATTATTTTACCTTGAGCAGCTGAGACTTGGTCCTGCGGGGGGACATGGTGAAGGGCATGTCCATCACTGACCCATCACCCACCGGCCTGACGGTCACCCTCTCTGCTGGCGTGTGCGGCCTCCGTGTGGGTGACAGGGTTCTGCTGCTGCCGGGTGGAGGCCCAGGTGGAGGGATGTCTGCAGCTGAAGGTGGAACTGACACACAGCGGGACGCTCCTTCAGACCGGGTTAATGACGAGGAGGGAGGCACGGTGGACTGGGGGCGGGGGCCAAATGGGTAGTCCGGGGCCGGAGTGTACAGCGGTGCCGTGGGGCTGCCGTGACGGAACTGGTGGCGCTGCTGCCACTCGTACAGTTGCCACACAGTGTTGGGCCCCGGGTCAGGGGTGAGGCGGAAGTGGCTGAGGCGGTCCTGGGCGTACTTGTACTCGCCAAGTCGGGCGGGCGTGGGGCTCTGGCGAGGAGTCTTTGGCAAGGTCTGATATGCATCTACAGAGGTGAACTTGTGCTGGGTTGGTGGCGTGCGTCTAGGGAGAGTGTTCTCTCTGGATGATGGGCTGAAACAGCAGGACACAAAAACACTCAGGTCTCACATCATAAACAGAGTCAAAGTCAAGTCGAATCTTTTATCAGCGTCAGACCTCAAACTAAAGTCCCTGACCTTGACCCACCTCTGCGGAGCAGTCAGTGAAACATAATGTCAGTAATCTGATAGGACTTTGTATTTGGATATCAGACATGTGACAGTGACGTACCCTTTGTGCTCCGTCTTCTGCACTTTGACCCACTGCTCCACCTGCTCCAGAGCGCTTCTCCTGTGCACCTGTTTGTGTGTGTCAGCAGGGGGTGGGGCCGGCGCCCTCTGGTACGTCCCTGCTGCAATGCCATTGGGCTCAAGGATGGGGCTGGGCGTGGACGTGAGGCCATTCCTTGTACAGACGCTGGAGGGGAGAGTGGAGGCAGCTCGTGATGGCGCCCGGGAGGGTACCCTGGATACGGGCGCTGAGGCCGACACGTGGTCTAACTGCGGGAGGGCGGAGGATGCAGGGTTGGAGGGGAGGGACGTGTGTGTGTCCATTTCCAGGGTGGTACTGCCTATAGGGCGCTCCAGCGTGGCGGTGGCAGGAGAGTCTTTGTGGAAGCTGCAGCGTTCGTCTGTGTCGTGGTGGATGGGCTCCAGGAGGACCTCGTGGATGATGGGCTTCATGGCGTTGCAGTCGGAGGTCTTGTGGTGATTGATGTGGTTGGACTGAGGGACGGCCTGCTGCTGCAACATGTTGAATGTCTCCAACTTATCAGATGGTCTGTGGAGAGAAGACATGACACAGTCTGTCATTGTTTATACTGTGTGTGAGTTTGTCTCTAACACTGTGAGAGTTTGATTCCTGAGAGTGACGGCAGAGTGGCGGCAGACAGTGGTGAGGAGATGAATAATCAGACACACCTGAGAGCTGGAGGAGGAAACATTAACAGAAGCATCAGGGAGGAAACAGAGAGTAAAGTGATTCTGGTTATTCTCCTGTCTGACGCCAACTCCTTGAATATTTGTAAAAAACTCAGTGTTACACAGGAGAACAGGAGGATAATTAACTCCAGCTGACAGATGATTCTTCTTCTTCAAACCTCTCGAAGGATTTCAGTGATTTTAACTCGATAAGCACCAGTTCTGTTTCATTTGATCACTGCCTTGATATCACATGGATGTGTCCTTCATCCATCTCAGAGGTCTCTGTCTTTGCTCTGCTGAACTGAATTTAAACTCTATGAACGTCACATAAAAGACAAACTTTTAAAATCAACACTAACTTTAAGAACAAAGCTAAAAACACAGGACAGACGAGGAGAGGAACCCTGAGACCACAGCCAGGTGTTAAACTGTGTAAAAAAAATCCTGTCAGGTCTCTGAAGTTCAATCTCACACCACAGTTTATATTTAGGAGATGAATTAAACAGCCTCAGGCGTCGACAGCTGGGATCTGAAGATATTCAATATAAATGATTAGTTTGTCTCCGTCAGTCTGACTTTAAAGTTTGGATCTGTTGGCATTTGAGGTTGTTTGAGGTTCAGTGTTGGAAATATTACTTTGTAAATGCAGCACATTATAGTTATTAAAAATGAAATAAATAATTCAACTGTTTCAAGTACTTCAGCAAAGTAATGTAACTTATTACATTTGATTATGGTTTGATTACTTTTCTAACAAATGTTTTAAACTGGGCAGCAGAGCTGACAAATGTCCAGAAATCCTGCACGGGATTTCTGCTGTCGTCAGAGGTTCAGGTACTGGTACTGGTATTGGTACTGGTATTGGTACTGGTATTGGTACTGGTACTGGTATTGGTACTGGTACTGGTACTGGTGTTGATATTGGTACTGGTACTGGTATCGGTACTGGTATTGGTATTGGTACTGGTATTGGTACTGGTACTGGTATTGGTATTGATGTTGGTATTCGTAGTTTTTTAAGACAGCACCCAGCTGTGGTTTCAGCAGCCAGATAATAAAACACAGTCCATTAGTATGTCAGCTCAGGACTGTTTACATTAAAACTGGTTTTCAGGGATGATCACTATCAGCTGATCAGGGGTCGTTCAAAACCTCTACAGTACCGTACAACATGTCTGGTACCAAACACAGACTGACAGAGGACAATCATTTAAAGATAGAGAGTGTGTGTGTTCAGTCAGGTCAACAGCTGTGTGATCCTAATGAGCTACTTTAATCAACGTTATATCTTAATATAAAAACTCTCAGAGGACAGAAGTTCTGATTTATAAGTTACAGCTGTCAGACAGCAGGGGGAGCTCACGGTGTTCAGCTGACAGGTCAGTGTTTGACAGTAGGAACAGAAGAAGAGACGACCTCTGGAGGAACGTTGAGTTTGTTCAGTCTGTTTATTTAGTGACTGAACGTCATCCTCCTGCAGGACCTCCTGACTTCTGTGTGTGTGTGTGTGTGTGTGTGTGTGTAGCTGTACCTGATGAGCGTGTGTGTGTGGTTCTCCATCAGTGTGGCCTGGTTCATGGCCCTCAGCCAGGTGTTCATGTCCTCCTGGGTGTCGGCACTGAAGTAATACGTCCTCATCCCGCTGTGCTCCGCCTGCGAGCCAATCACAGAGCTCTGCTTGTAAATGTACGAGCGCATACCAGTGTGGCTAGCCTATAGGAAGAGAGAGGAGGACGGGTCAGAGGGACAGAGACACCGTCCAGCTTCAGCTGAGGTCAGAAGGAAAGAGACGCTGTCCCACCAGCTTCAGCTGAGGTCAGAGGGACAGAGACACCGTCCAGCTTCAGCTGAGGTCAGAGAGACAGAGACGCTGTCCCACCAGCTTCAGCTGAGGTCAGAGGGACAGAGACGCCATCCCACCAGCTTTAGCTGAGGTCAGAGGGACAGAGACACCGTCCAGCTTCAGCTGAGGTCAGAGAGACAGAGACGCTGTCCCACCAGCTTCAGCTGAGGTCAGAGGGACAGAGACGCCATCCCACCAGCTTCAGCTGAGGTCAGAGGGACAGAGACACCGTCCAGCTTCAGCTGAGGTCAGAGAGACAGAGACGCTGTCCCACCAGCTTCAGCTGAGGTCAGAGGGACAGAGACGCCATCCCACCAGCTTCAGCTGAGGTCAGAGGGACAGAGACACCGTCCAGCTTCAGCTGAGGTCAGAGAGACAGAGACGCTGTCCCACCAGCTTCAGCTGAGGTCAGAGGGACAGAGACGCCATCCCACCAGCTTTAGCTGAGGTCAGAGGGACAGAGACACCGTCCAGCTTCAGCTGAGGTCAGAGAGACAGAGACGCTGTCCCACCAGCTTCAGCTGAGGTCAGAGGGACAGAGACGCCATCCCACCAGCTTCAGCTGAGGTCAGAGGGACAGAGACGCCATCCCACCAGCTTTAGCTGAGGTCAGAGGGACAGAGACGCCGTCCAACCAGCTTCAGCTGAGGTCAGAGAGACAGAGACGCCTTCCAGGTTCAGCTGAGGTCAGAGGGACAG